ATCATGCTTTTGTTTTTGGCCATTTTACAGTTCTGGAAAAGTTCTTATTTTGGTCCATTCTACATAGTTTATTAAGGGTCTTTGGCTGTTTGGTGATTATTTTGCATACTTCATGTTATGGCACCTTTTGAGCCTTGTTTTGCATCATATTTTTAGCATATTTGTATACTGATTTTGAGGCTTCCATATACTGTAAATGTTCATATTTTTGGTCCATCTTCAGTGTTGTAGAAGGAAATTTTCCAGTTTGGGTTTTGTTTATATCACTTGCTTCATTACCTCTTGAAAATACCGTATTCTTGCATGCTATTTTTTCCCTACCTATATTTGCTGTTTGGCCATGTTTATAACTGTGAAAGTGCATCTTTTGGGACTGTCTAGCTTCTGTCTTTGCATTGCATGTCCATATTGTGCATGTTTGGCATAGCTATAGGCCATTTCGGGTGCCTTATGTTGCATTTCGGGGCATTTCCTTGCATTTCATGTCATTTCGCCTCATCCCGGGGCTGTTTTCCCCTTGTTTTGTTGCTGGAATTCCATTAGCATGCTTGCATATCATTTTTGCCATGTTGCATCACATTTTATCATTGCCTCGGTTTGCGTGCCCGTGTGCACGCATTTCGAGGCACCTCATTTTCTGCCATCGGCATCTTATGTGAGTGTGGCTGAGGCTCGCTCATGTTGGTATAAGCCCATTTGTCATTTCCATGTCATTTTCATTACATTTTGTCATTGCCTTGGTTTGCGTGCCCGTGTGCACGCATTTCGAGGCACCTTATTTTTATCCGACGACATCCTATGTGAGTGTGGCTGAGGCTCACTCATGTTGGTATAAGCCCATTTGTCATTTCCATGTCATTTGCATTGCGTATGCATCGCCTCGGTTTGCGTGCCCGTGTGCACGCATTTCGAGGCACCTCATTTTCTGCCATCGGCATCTTATGTGAGTGTGGCTGAGGCTCACTCATGTTGGTATAAGTCCATATTGCATTCTGTACGTCATTTGCATCACATTCCGCTACCGCCTCGGTTTGCGTGCCCGTGTGCACGCACTTCGAGGCACCTCATTTTCATCACATTCTGTCATTGCCTCGGTTTGCGTGCCTGTGTGCACGCATTTCGAGGCACCTCATTTTTATCACATTCTGTCATTGTCTCGGTTTGCGTGCCCGTGTGCACGCATTTCGAGGCACCTCATTTTCATCACATTCTGTCATTGCCTCGGTTTGCGTGCCCGTGTGCACGCATTTTGAAGCACCTCATTTTCATTGCGTATGCCATCGCCTCGGTTTGCGTGCCCGTGTGCACGCATTTCGAGGCACCTCATTTTCATAGCATTTTACCACTGCCTCGGTTTGCGTACCCATGTACACGCATTTCGAGGCATCTCATTTTCATTGCATTCTACCATTTTCTCGGTTTGTGTGTCCGTGTGCACGTACTTCGAGGCATTTCACTTCCATAGCATTGAGTATGTTAGGATTATATCTTAGTTGCATTTCA